GTTTCGTGTCCCTAAAACGCGGAGCGACCGAGAGAGAGCTTACAATACTTGGTTTCATACCTCTTTTATGGTTTATAATATCCCTGAGGAGCAAGGTCTTAATCTTCCGTGAGGAAACAGGTTTTATCGTTCTTGAGGTAAATAGGGTAACTCTTCTTGAGGAAAATGGCTTAATCTTTCTTGAGGAAAATAGGTTTTAATCCAACTGGGTCCGATCGGGTAGGCTTAGGACACTCTTCGTAGGACACACAATATCAATAGGACAATAATTTCGATGACGGTAGATGAACGACTCCCCCAAGAAGGGGAAGGAAGGGGTTTTTATAAGATCGGCGTGGGAGAATGGTCATGTGATTGATTGTTGTGAGGTAAAAGGTACGCAGATGGGTTGGAATTGTTCCCGGGCTCATGCTAACTATCAACTTAGCAGTTGGAATGTGGGATTAGTTTCGAATTGAACGGATGTTTATGTCGAACATAAATGAAAAGTTTTTTTTTCCATTAGGTTTCACTTTAAGTTAAAGGAAAATTTAATTACGTTTTTAGGCAAATACGGGAAATTAGTCTGTAAAATAATCGGTAAAAATTCCGAATCTCACATTTAGATATAATATATCTATAAACCGTAACTATCTCGTTATAATTTTCAATATTTATTTTATATTATATACTAATGTTAAATTCTATTTCGCTTCAATTTCCAAATTGCTTCAAATACGAAAGAATCGACGATTTTTCGTGTCTTTTGCCAGCTAAATTGTCAAAGCCATTCTAATTACACACACTAATTTCATTTGAAAATAGTAGGCAAAGCCAACAAAACAATTTTTGCATTTTTATGCATTTACAGAGCCATTTTATCATGAAAATGTCGAACAAGTTTTTTTATTGAAGTGTTTATATTTAACTTAGGCATTGGCTTTTCTCTTTTAATAATGTTTTCTTTTTCATTATATGATTGAACTTTTTTAAAATAAATTTTCAATATCGCAATTACATTTCAAATTGCTAGCCACGATATAAGGGCTAAAATTAAAAATAAAATTATAAAAACTTCCTTGGTGAAATAAAATGTGTGGTGGATATATATACCTGGTAGAAAACATTCTTCAATTGTATGAATATACTTTTAAAGAAAATTATAATTAAATATAGCTTTGTAATGAAACGTACATAAAAGTAACATAAAATATTCTTTACTCTTTAAATCTTAATCACTTAGTCAAATAGCTCCCTACAAGTGGAATCAGAGACGGTCCTGCTAGGTGTGCGGTGTGTACATGCATGCGGGCTGCCAAATCCCGAGGGTGCCCATACCGGTCAATGTCAAATGTCAAAAGATGCGACAGGGTTCTTGTAAATTTTAAACGTTTCTCACCATAGCTGTAAAAGTCTAAATATGTTAAACTTAATAGATTGTCCGTTGTTTGTTTTCTAATTCATTTTAGGACCAGGTGTTGTCCATGGAAATTTCCAAAATTTACAACTTTTTGGTCACTCTCATTGAACTGGAAAAATGTCTGTTTTTATTACATCTAATATTTCAAAGAAATCACTCCCACTGTACTCGGCAAGAGATTGGTTTGGTTAGGCTTTTGTTTAAGTAAAATTTCGGCTCTTTCATCAGGTTTTTGTGTCCCCAATTCCCTAATCACTTAATTATTTAATTACTTCTTAAGTAGAAATAAGTCAAAACCAGTTACTTTGTACTCTAATATTTGTAGTCTCAGGAAAAAGTGGAAAGACAAATTTTTATGACAAACGGATACATAAATCGTAAATTTTTAAGGAAAATAAATTCTAGAGCTTTTTCTGTACCTCATGCATCTCTCTCATTCATTAAATTTAGTTGTAAATGATGCTACCAAAGTAACAGTTAATTTTTTAACATTATACAAGAATTGTACACTTTTTTTTTCTACATACCCTTAAAGATGGGATATACGAAATCGTAATATCACTGGTTTAACATTGAAATCTGTGAGTAATATAAAATTGGAGAGCGGAATAAATATATCAAATATTTTAATGGATTTTTTTAACTCCTGTCAACTATACAGAACTATCGTAAAAACATACCAGTAAATTCTTATCGGTCGGGTTAAGTTATAAATCTACTCGTTATTCACGTAATTGGCCAAATATCTAGCGAGCGGGCGGCTAACAGCCTAGAACCAGTCCCGGATAGAATTGGAAGCGTTGGAATGTGTAGCATCAACTCAAGGTCGTAGGCTTCCACTGGCTAAACCGGGTAAGGTTGGTGTTCTGTAAAGCACGTGCGCAAACCTGGCGTTTTGAAATCTGACAATACAGATTCCACTCCACCATTAATATTCGAATATACAATAGCAATCTTATTTTTTTTTTCACGTGTAGTATAGAAATTTGTAATAAGATATATAATGCGGTTATAATAAAATATTGTACGATTATTTTCATATAATTAAAATTAATATGTATTTATTTTTTATAAAATACAAGGGAAGCAGCGCTTCCACTGCTTCTAATGACGGCATGCCACTGCTTCTAATGACAGCATGCCACTGCCAGTTTGTTTATGAAGGGGAAGACCCCCCCACAATTCTTTGAGGTGTCTTTCTATTGTTTCATGTGTGTGTAAAATAATATTTTTATATATTTTTTTTGTTTATGCAATGCTTGATATGCACACACAGAATGAATTTTATACGCAAAGTTAGATATGTTCCAAAATGTTCTAAAATTTTAAATCTTTAAGTATGACATCTCTTCGAATCTCGGAACTTTTAACCTGAGGAAGACAGAAAAATACGATCAAAAACATTTGTTTTTACAATTAAATATTTTACTGGTCACATAAAGGTTGTTGTGAGTCTATTATGTATTGTACCAGTACCTGTAAATGAGTGTTTAACCTTTACACAAGGTATAAGTTTTGTATTTATTGAGTACTTAGGTGTATTAAATTGATTACATTTCAGACATTGTTGTGAGCCGGGGGTTTTTATGGGCTCTTGCTGTCCCTCCCATTATCCGTCAATGGGCTCTGGTCAGCCTGCCCACTTGTCAGCAATGGCTGTTCTGTTCTTTTGTACTAAGTGGAGGAAGAGTACAGGTTCGTCGACAAGACAGTGGCAACACTTAGATAAACGACACCATTTAAACAACAAAACAAAAATTTAATCAAACACAATTAACGAGATACATTCTAAAACCGCGGGTTCATCTATGCTAGTTCCTGATATTTCACGGATACATCAAGAGAGAGTTTACGTGCTTTCCCATCATACCTCTGAACGAGTTCTTTGACTTTCTGGTGATAAAGTTCCTCCCCCTGGTGATTAAGGAGTTGTCAAGTTTGGCCAGGAGGACCTTAGTAGCAGAGTTCGACGGCGGCTTTCGTCGGGAAAAACTCAATCAGTCAGGAACGGGTGCTTATCTCGATCCTTTTCTTTCCAACCCTCATCTTCTTGTTGTACCCACCTTATATACTGTGGGGCATGTGATAATCATCTACCAATCGCAATCTTTAGTGACTACTTTTCCGTGGCTCAGGTTGAAGAACCGGAGAGAAAGGAAGTGTCTTCCAGAGAAGGAAGGATGAACATCCATTTTTGAGATTTCAATATGATCTTGTATTAGAGGGAGTTTTAGAATTTTTTTGTGTGGTTCGGGGCCCTCCATTCTGACCCTCGCATCACATTGGCTTTTCCATAATTGTACTTGTCCTTAAAGGTACAAGTTTGATTTTTTTTCGTTTCTCCGATACTAGGTTTATTTAAGATTGTTACTCTCTCATATATCTAAGTTTCATTCTTTTATAAACATTTTGCTTTATAAAACAGTATTATTTTAAATTTTTACATACACAGTACAAGGATATATTTTTGCTTTCTACACAGCATGGTACAATGTTATTTTTTTATTTATATTCAATGACAACTAGGTAATATTGACAGTTAATTCTTGGTAGGAAGGTGTCATGGGTTCATCGGATGTACATTTGGTTGGTCGGCGTGGTGTCATCCAGGCATTGGTTGACTTTGCTACTGCTCCAGTTGTGATGGTATTGGTTCGTGGAATCATGTGTCTGTCTACTTTTCTTTGTTCTCGGGTGTCTGTTGGTTTGGTAGACAATGTTGAGATGTTGGATCTATGGTGGCTGGCAATCACTTTGGCTTGAACTAATCAGGTAGGTGGATGACAGCTGGTCCAGGAAGAAATAAATGTGCTCATGGAATGTTTTAATAGAATTATGAAATGGTAGTATTGATTGACGGGTAGTGGTCTTTCGGGCAGGAGACATATTCCCCTGGAGGTGATTAGGTGACACTGTTTTCTCTCAGTAAAAATAAGTCATTAGATCAGATTGTTTGGAGTTAAAGTTTATTATTTGTGACAGGTTGGAGGTATGTAAAGGTTTATGGAACATAATTGAGATACTTTCTCTCTCAGATACTTAGATTAATATTTAAGATAATATATAATATAATATTTAAGACAAGTAGTAAGGTAAGGTAAATCTAATGAATTTTTTGGGAGACATATATTTATAAGTTTAAAACTCTAAGTGATCATTGTTTGCACTAAAATGTAACTAATGAAACAAAGAATCATTTGTTGTTTAACTGTTTACTAGTCAACAACTCCATTTACTGAGTGAAACACTTGCAAGTATGCATTACTCATTGAATGCTATATGTATAATGCCCCATCATTTAAGATTTATGCTGTCTCTATTGAAAATTTTTTTATTTACATTAGAAGGAATCTAATAAAAATCTAAACTTAATGTTATTTGGACTTTAAGTGTACTTTATTATTTTAAGAGAACTTTTACTAAAATATGTTATTCTATACAAATGCTAAAGTATATTTTAATATGTTTACAATGATGTGTTCTAACAGATAATCAACTCTGATATGATGTAGAAACCAAAATATCTTTTTATCATTTAAAAAATCACTTTAAAATATTATTTTCTTTAAATAAGAAATGTGTATAAAATTTATTTCATTAGCTGCTCTTTCTGATGCATCGTCTCAAGAAGAGGAGGAAGGTTCAAATATTCAGCCACTTAAAGAGATTGAATCTTTTCCTTATACTAAATCACTTCCACCTAGTGAAGATTCAGATGCTGCATTTAGAGAAAAGTTGAAAAATATGGGGAAATGTAAGTATACATGATATTCATTTATATATTTTGTATTATAGCATTGTGCATAGTAAATGATTTATTATAACAAATGTTTTCAGCCTCATTTAACAGTCTGTTTCAGGTTTTAAACTATATCTTCACTTGGGAGTCTTTAAATAGTAAAATTAAGTGTGTTTTAATTTACATAAAAATTTATAACTAGAATTAATTTTTACATAAAATGTTGCCTAATAATTCTTTTACAATGTAATATTTTAGATGTATATTAATTTATAATGTATTAAGTATATTTTAAGTGATAATTATTTTGTACAACTATGTTATATATAAAAGCTACTGTATTCTTATTTTCAAGTATCAAATTTCAACTAAAATTAGAATATTTTTCAAGTAGTGAATGAATGAAACATATTCAGAAATTAGCAGTTATCATCAACATATCACAATTTGCATTTCTTAATGATACACTTAATCTTAGCAATTAAATCTGTTAAACATCTATGGTACATTATGAATTCATTTCAAGTACTGAAATAAATAAAACATTATAGAACTGAATAAACTATTGTAAATAAAACATGTAAAATAGCTATTTTGTGATGCTTGTATAACTGTTTCATTAGAAATATATTCATGTTCTATTACAACTAAACTTTGCTAATACAACAGGTTAGGTTCCAGACCACTGCCACAAAATGAACAGTGCCTTAAACTGAAATACAGTTTTTTTCTTGTTAAATTATCAACAATATTATTTTACACTACAGTTTAGTAAAAAATGTTTAATATCAGGACAGATTTATTCATAACAACAACTAAGAGTACAGAATTGTTGTTTCAGTAGGAAATGACTTACAATAATTATATCATATTATCATCTTATATCCGTGTTTATTTGTATCAAATGAATTGATTCAATTAGATAATTTTTAAAGTATATTATGTTTTATACAGGAAATAGTAACATATATTTACTTTTATACGTTATTTGCTTGAAAATAAATAAAATTTTATGTAAAGGTATAACTTAGATTATAATGAAATATAATAAAATCTATTTATTTATTTATTTACTATAATAGTTCATTTGTTCAAATTTTATAGTATAGTACATTCATAATTATTGTATACAATACCATTGTAAATGATTACAAATTAATTATTTAACTTGCTTTCATAATTTTTCTTTTGTTCTAGTATCTCGGAAAAAGTTTGCTCAGTTGGCCAGATTATTTTCTCGCCGAAAAAGACGTACTTTCAGGCCTATGTATCCTTTCAAATTAAATAAGTTTTAGCATTTATACTTTAGTTAAGTTCTTTTATAGTTACAATGTTTTACATTAAAAAATTTCATATTTACTTAAATATCAGGCATTTTTTACATGAAATAATTTTTTTTTGTGCAAGGTGAATGATAAAAAAAATCTTCCAATTTTTATTATAATGAAAATTTACAAAATATAACTATACTAAGAAAATAGTAATCATGCTAATGAAAAAATTATCAACACTGTCACTCTCTTAACATGTTGTGACTAGTTTCAGAGATGACATGTTTTTTAAAATCTGAACCCATAATCTTGCAAACAAGATGTCATTGCTTAGGGATGATTTCTTTTTCATTATATCAGTTTTCTGTGATACTTTTATTGCAAAATGTATATCATATTATTTTTTTAATACAATATTGTGATTTGTATAAATTAGACTTAAATTGATAAATGAATAATTTTTTAGTTTTCATTTCTATTGACTTTATTGGCTTTTTATTGTCCATAATTCAAGAAAGACAATATAGAAAAAAGGGGAAGCTTTCTATNTGGAAGTTCTTTGTAAAAGAAAAGTTAAAACACACAAAGTCTTAGTTCATATCTGCCTTTATAAAGTGATGCTTTTTGATATATATTTTTATGAATTTAATCATTTTTGTGCATTTAATCTTTTAGGTTTATTTTTGTTTTTAGTTTTATATCGCCTTATTTTATTATTTTATTTTTTATATTAATATGGCTTTAATCTATTTATTATAGTTATTTCGTATAGTGATTGGTTAATTTATTTTACATTTTAATTTTGAATTTGTAATGTTCGAAAGTTCCGTTTTAACGCAATTTTCAAAGTTGTTCGATAACTTACGATGATGGCCTATTTCATTAGGCTGAAAACGTTTGTGGGTTAATAAATATTTCTCAGCGTTATAAGATGTTGAATGTTTTACTGGAAATGTTAAATATGAATAGCACAAACATCTAACTTTAGAATCAGATTTTTTTTAACATTCACCTATGTTTTAGTGAATATATAGTAAATTAAAATGTTTATTATGTAGTGAATCAGCTGAACTTAATATTGATTAATAATTAGATTGTGGATTTTATAACTAACAGTTTTAAAAATTTGGATCTGAATTATTAGCAAATTTAAAAATAAATCCATAATATAAAATTCGAAAATGTAATTTAACTTAATTCTATTTTCTGTAACATCTTTCAGCTGTTGGAGAAAACAGAATTTTTAGAATCTCAAAATAATTCTTATTATTGTAAAATCTCATGTGAAATTTAAAGGTGAAATATGTTAAACTTGTACAATATCAGTTGTCTTGGCATGTTTTCTGTATCACCTTCTTTCAAACATTATGAAATACAATAAACATATCCATGGATAAGAAGTTAAAAAATACTCATTAATCAAGGTTATGCAAACTTTGATTAAAAATTTCATAAACTTTGTATAACTGGAAAAGTAAAATCAAATTCTTAAACTAATTCCATTTCTTTGAAAGAAATGTTGCTATTCAAGAATGATAAGAGTTTCAATTAAAAATGACAGTACAAGTAGTCCCCAACTTACAATAGTTTTATTTCAATATTCCAGTCATAAATTAAACAAAAAATGGTGGTTTCCAAAATCAATCATAAGTCTATATAATACTGCTTACATATGTATTGTATGCTGTAATTAGATGATGACTCATTTGTACACTTACTGGCTATGTTAATTTAGTTATTTATATAAAGATGATATTTTAATTAATTAATTATGGTATTTTATTAACATTCACCCACACACACACAAGTAATTAAGTATAGTCAAAGGTTTCAAAAGTCCTAGTGAGAGATATGGCAGTTTTAATATGGACTGTAATTCTATTTTTATTTATTTCTTTAATTTATTATTGATTCACTTTAACTTTATTACAGAAGTAAAATTAGCATGATGATAGCTTCATTTTTGCTTTTGAAGTACTAATGGTATAAATCTGAGTGATAGTTAAACATGAATAAACTTATCAGTTAATGTTATATACAGTAGATTGTGTTTATTACGCATAATAGTATTACATTTAGCATTTAATTGTTGTAATGTGACTTTAGTAACTAACCAATTGTCCAGACACAAAAGCAATGTTTTTAAATACATTTTGACAGTTATAAGTTGGGGACTGACTGTAATTATTCAATATGAAACTTCTTTTAAAATAATCATTTTTATTTTTAAAAAAGTTTTAGCAGAAAATTTTGATTACAGGGTTGTCATATTGTTTTTAAGATTTTATCTACTTATACTATGAATCTCTACTCAGTTTATGTCTGACTACTAAGAGTTATTTAGTATGATAAATAATACTTTCTGCACTTCTTTTACAGCAATTCATTGATATATTTTTGTCATTATGGGAAAATAAATTGTCACTGGATTACTAGAATTGTTAAATAATATATTAGTAGTAGTAATAATAATTACACCAAAAATTGAAATTATTGAGAAAAACATGAAATTGATCTTGCAATATAATTTGTCTTGATGTTGTAGATNCTTATTTTTTTTTTCACGTGTAGTATAGAAATTTGTAATAAGATATATAATGCGGTTATAATAAAATATTGTACGATTATTTTCATATAATTAAAATTAATATGTATTTATTTTTTATAAAATACAAGGGAAGCAGCGCTTCCACTGCTTCTAATGACGGCATGCCACTGCTTCTAATGACAGCATGCCACTGCCAGTTTGTTTATGAAGGGGAAGACCCCCCCACAATTCTTTGAGGTGTCTTTCTATTGTTTCATGTGTGTGTAAAATAATATTTTTATATATTTTTTTTGTTTATGCAATGCTTGATATGCACACACAGAATGAATTTTATACGCAAAGTTAGATATGTTCCAAAATGTTCTAAAATTTTAAATCTTTAAGTATGACATCTCTTCGAATCTCGGAACTTTTAACCTGAGGAAGACAGAAAAATACGATCAAAAACATTTGTTTTTACAATTAAATATTTTACTGGTCACATAAAGGTTGTTGTGAGTCTATTATGTATTGTACCAGTACCTGTAAATGAGTGTTTAACCTTTACACAAGGTATAAGTTTTGTATTTATTGAGTACTTAGGTGTATTAAATTGATTACATTTCAGACATTGTTGTGAGCCGGGGGTTTTTATGGGCTCTTGCTGTCCCTCCCATTATCCGTCAATGGGCTCTGGTCAGCCTGCCCACTTGTCAGCAATGGCTGTTCTGTTCTTTTGTACTAAGTGGAGGAAGAGTACAGGTTCGTCGACAAGACAGTGGCAACACTTAGATAAACGACACCATTTAAACAACAAAACAAAAATTTAATCAAACACAATTAACGAGATACATTCTAAAACCGCGGGTTCATCTATGCTAGTTCCTGATATTTCACGGATACATCAAGAGAGAGTTTACGTGCTTTCCCATCATACCTCTGAACGAGTTCTTTGACTTTCTGGTGATAAAGTTCCTCCCCCTGGTGATTAAGGAGTTGTCAAGTTTGGCCAGGAGGACCTTAGTAGCAGAGTTCGACGGCGGCTTTCGTCGGGAAAAACTCAATCAGTCAGGAACGGGTGCTTATCTCGATCCTTTTCTTTCCAACCCTCATCTTCTTGTTGTACCCACCTTATATACTGTGGGGCATGTGATAATCATCTACCAATCGCAATCTTTAGTGACTACTTTTCCGTGGCTCAGGTTGAAGAACCGGAGAGAAAGGAAGTGTCTTCCAGAGAAGGAAGGATGAACATCCATTTTTGAGATTTCAATATGATCTTGTATTAGAGGGAGTTTTAGAATTTTTTTGTGTGGTTCGGGGCCCTCCATTCTGACCCTCGCATCACATTGGCTTTTCCATAATTGTACTTGTCCTTAAAGGTACAAGTTTGATTTTTTTTCGTTTCTCCGATACTAGGTTTATTTAAGATTGTTACTCTCTCATATATCTAAGTTTCATTCTTTTATAAACATTTTGCTTTATAAAACAGTATTATTTTAAATTTTTACATACACAGTACAAGGATATATTTTTGCTTTCTACACAGCATGGTACAATGTTATTTTTTTATTTATATTCAATGACAACTAGGTAATATTGACAGTTAATTCTTGGTAGGAAGGTGTCATGGGTTCATCGGATGTACATTTGGTTGGTCGGCGTGGTGTCATCCAGGCATTGGTTGACTTTGCTACTGCTCCAGTTGTGATGGTATTGGTTCGTGGAATCATGTGTCTGTCTACTTTTCTTTGTTCTCGGGTGTCTGTTGGTTTGGTAGACAATGTTGAGATGTTGGATCTATGGTGGCTGGCAATCACTTTGGCTTGAACTAATCAGGTAGGTGGATGACAGCTGGTCCAGGAAGAAATAAATGTGCTCATGGAATGTTTTAATAGAATTATGAAATGGTAGTATTGATTGACGGGTAGTGGTCTTTCGGGCAGGAGACATATTCCCCTGGAGGTGATTAGGTGACACTGTTTTCTCTCAGTAAAAATAAGTCATTAGATCAGATTGTTTGGAGTTAAAGTTTATTATTTGTGACAGGTTGGAGGTATGTAAAGGTTTATGGAACATAATTGAGATACTTTCTCTCTCAGATACTTAGATTAATATTTAAGATAATATATAATATAATATTTAAGACAAGTAGTAAGGTAAGGTAAATCTAATGAATTTTTTGGGAGACATATATTTATAAGTTTAAAACTCTAAGTGATCATTGTTTGCACTAAAATGTAACTAATGAAACAAAGAATCATTTGTTGTTTAACTGTTTACTAGTCAACAACTCCATTTACTGAGTGAAACACTTGCAAGTATGCATTACTCATTGAATGCTATATGTATAATGCCCCATCATTTAAGATTTATGCTGTCTCTATTGAAAATTTTTTTATTTACATTAGAAGGAATCTAATAAAAATCTAAACTTAATGTTATTTGGACTTTAAGTGTACTTTATTATTTTAAGAGAACTTTTACTAAAATATGTTATTCTATACAAATGCTAAAGTATATTTTAATATGTTTACAATGATGTGTTCTAACAGATAATCAACTCTGATATGATGTAGAAACCAAAATATCTTTTTATCATTTAAAAAATCACTTTAAAATATTATTTTCTTTAAATAAGAAATGTGTATAAAATTTATTTCATTAGCTGCTCTTTCTGATGCATCGTCTCAAGAAGAGGAGGAAGGTTCAAATATTCAGCCACTTAAAGAGATTGAATCTTTTCCTTATACTAAATCACTTCCACCTAGTGAAGATTCAGATGCTGCATTTAGAGAAAAGTTGAAAAATATGGGGAAATGTAAGTATACATGATATTCATTTATATATTTTGTATTATAGCATTGTGCATAGTAAATGATTTATTATAACAAATGTTTTCAGCCTCATTTAACAGTCTGTTTCAGGTTTTAAACTATATCTTCACTTGGGAGTCTTTAAATAGTAAAATTAAGTGTGTTTTAATTTACATAAAAATTTATAACTAGAATTAATTTTTACATAAAATGTTGCCTAATAATTCTTTTACAATGTAATATTTTAGATGTATATTAATTTATAATGTATTAAGTATATTTTAAGTGATAATTATTTTGTACAACTATGTTATATATAAAAGCTACTGTATTCTTATTTTCAAGTATCAAATTTCAACTAAAATTAGAATATTTTTCAAGTAGTGAATGAATGAAACATATTCAGAAATTAGCAGTTATCATCAACATATCACAATTTGCATTTCTTAATGATACACTTAATCTTAGCAATTAAATCTGTTAAACATCTATGGTACATTATGAATTCATTTCAAGTACTGAAATAAATAAAACATTATAGAACTGAATAAACTATTGTAAATAAAACATGTAAAATAGCTATTTTGTGATGCTTGTATAACTGTTTCATTAGAAATATATTCATGTTCTATTACAACTAAACTTTGCTAATACAACAGGTTAGGTTCCAGACCACTGCCACAAAATGAACAGTGCCTTAAACTGAAATACAGTTTTTTTCTTGTTAAATTATCAACAATATTATTTTACACTACAGTTTAGTAAAAAATGTTTAATATCAGGACAGATTTATTCATAACAACAACTAAGAGTACAGAATTGTTGTTTCAGTAGGAAATGACTTACAATAATTATATCATATTATCATCTTATATCCGTGTTTATTTGTATCAAATGAATTGATTCAATTAGATAATTTTTAAAGTATATTATGTTTTATACAGGAAATAGTAACATATATTTACTTTTATACGTTATTTGCTTGAAAATAAATAAAATTTTATGTAAAGGTATAACTTAGATTATAATGAAATATAATAAAATCTATTTATTTATTTATTTACTATAATAGTTCATTTGTTCAAATTTTATAGTATAGTACATTCATAATTATTGTATACAATACCATTGTAAATGATTACAAATTAATTATTTAACTTGCTTTCATAATTTTTCTTTTGTTCTAGTATCTCGGAAAAAGTTTGCTCAGTTGGCCAGATTATTTTCTCGCCGAAAAAGACGTACTTTCAGGCCTATGTATCCTTTCAAATTAAATAAGTTTTAGCATTTATACTTTAGTTAAGTTCTTTTATAGTTACAATGTTTTACATTAAAAAATTTCATATTTACTTAAATATCAGGCATTTTTTACATGAAATAATTTTTTTTTGTGCAAGGTGAATGATAAAAAAAATCTTCCAATTTTTATTATAATGAAAATTTACAAAATATAACTATACTAAGAAAATAGTAATCATGCTAATGAAAAAATTATCAACACTGTCACTCTCTTAACATGTTGTGACTAGTTTCAGAGATGACATGTTTTTTAAAATCTGAACCCATAATCTTGCAAACAAGATGTCATTGCTTAGGGATGATTTCTTTTTCATTATATCAGTTTTCTGTGATACTTTTATTGCAAAATGTATATCATATTATTTTTTTAATACAATATTGTGATTTGTATAAATTAGACTTAAATTGATAAATGAATAATTTTTTAGTTTTCATTTCTATTGACTTTATTGGCTTTTTATTGTCCATAATTCAAGAAAGACAATATAGAAAAAAGGGGAAGCTTTCTATTATGCATTCAAATTGATTATGTATTAAAAAACAAAGGAAATGTTAAATAAATTAAATATCAAACTCAGATTCTTTTAAAACAGTAAAACATTCAACACCTTATAACGCTGAGAAATATTTATTAACCCACAAACGTTTTCAGCCTAATGAAATAGGCCATCATTGTAAGTTATCGAACAACTTTGAAAATTGCGTTAAAACGGAACTTTCGAACATTACAAATTCAAAATTAAAATGTAAAATAAATTAACCAATCACTATACGAAATAACTATAATAAATAGATTAAAGCCATATTAATATAAAAAATAAAATAATAAAATAAGGCGATATAAAACTAAAAACAAAAATAAACCTAAAAGATTAAATGCACAAAAATGATTAAATTCATAAAAATATATATCAAAAAGCATCACTTTATAAAGGCAGATATGAACTAAGACTTTGTGTGTTTTAACTTTTCTTTTACAAAGAACTTCCATGCCGAAGCTTAACCATCAGCATCCCTTGCATTGATACAACCATTCCTTAATTTACTCTTATAAATTTCAATTTTTTCATGTTGCAAAGCCAACAATGGGGACCGCAACATCTTGAGAATAGACGCTTCATTCCATTTAACTACTGAAGCCTCCGCTTGTGCCATACTTGACAAAACCGTGGTACAATGCCCTTTACTAATGCCATATTTGTGTTCTTTAAGCCTAATAGACAAATTCCGGCTAGTGACTCCAATATAGTCCTTCTTAACTCCTAGCTGTTGGTTTTCAAAGGGAATTTTATACACGCCCGCTGTTTCTTCTTTCTTAAGCTTGTCCTTATCGTTTCTAAGAATACTGTATAAATTAGGACCTCTTTTGTAAGAATTTTGGAGCGTTTTCTGTCTGAAACTTGCTTCATGATGTCCCTGAAGTTTTTATTATACGTAAATTTGGTGATCTTAAATTGATCTGTTCCAGTTCTTAACCTCTTGCCTCTTTCGTAACTTTTTATTAGCTCTTCAATTGTATTTTTGCGGCAACCCAAATTTGAAGCTACTTCCTTAATTCTGTCCATCTCTTTAATCCTGTCCAATACATTGGAGCAATAAGTAAACACACTCCTAATGCGTGCATGAAATACTGACATTTTTTTTTTTTTCTTTTTTGTCAGCATTTCGTGCACTCATTATTAGTGTAGTATATTATTATATCCCATGTAATTAGTATGTTAGTATATCGCTATTAACCTACTTTGCGTTGAATTTTCATCAATGTTAAGCCTAACAAAAATTTTTCAAAATAATAATTGTCGCTATTGTATCGTTAAAAATTAGAAAATTAAGCCTCGTTTAAATACTGGCTCCCTTTCATGGTCGAATGAGTGTTGCCAGCTAAAACATGTAAAAATAACGCTCTCCTAATGAGTGCATGAAATGCTGACAAAAAAGAAAAAAAAAATGTCAGCATTTCATGCACTCATTAGGAGTGTGTTTACTTATTGCTCCAATGTATTGGACAGGATTAAAGAGATGGACAGAATTAAGGAAGTAGCTTCAAATTTGGGTTGCCGCAAAAATACAATTGAAGAGCTAATAAAAAGTTACGAAAGAGGCAAGAGGTTAAGAACTGGAACAGATCAATTTAAGATCACCAAATTTACGTATAATAAAAACTTCAGGGACATCATGAAGCAAGTTTCAGACAGAAAACGCTCCAAAATTCTTACAAAAGAGGTCCTAATTTATACAGTATTCTTAGAAACGATAAGGACAAGCTTAAGAAAGAAGAAACAGCGGGCGTGTATAAAATTCCCTTTGAAAACCAACAGCTAGGAGTTAAGAAGGACTATATTGGAGTCACTAGCCGGAATTTGTCTATTAGGCTTAAAGAACACAAATATGGCATTAGTAAAGGGCATTGTACCACGGTTTTGTCAAGTATGGCACAAGCGGAGGCTTCAGTAGTTAAATGGAATGAAGCGTCTATTCTCAAGATGTTGCGGTCCCCATTGTTGGCTTTGCAACATGAAAAAATTGAAATTTATAAGAGTAAATTAAGGAATGGTTGTATCAATGCAAGGGATGCTGATGGTTAAGCTTCGGCATGGAAGTTCTTTGTAAAAGAAAAGTTAAAACACACAAAGTCTTAGTTCATATCTGCCTTTATAAAGTGATGCTTTTTGATATATATTTTTATGAATTTAATCATTTTTGTGCATTTAATCTTTTAGGTTTATTTTTGTTTTTAGTTTTATATCGCCTTATTTTATTATTTTATTTTTTATATTAATATGGCTTTAATCTATTTATTATAGTTATTTCGTATAGTGATTGGTTAATTTATTTTACATTTTAATTTTGAATTTGTAATGTTCGAAAGTTCCGTTTTAACGCAATTTTCAAAGTTGTTCGATAACTTACGATGATGGCCTATTTCATTAGGCTGAAAACGTTTGTGGGTTAATAAATATTTCTCAGCGTTATAAGATGTTGAATGTTTTACTGGAAATGTTAAATATGAATAGCACAAACATCTAACTTTAGAATCAGATTTTTTTTAACATTCACCTATGTTTTAGTGAATATATAGTAAATTAAAATGTTTATTATGTAGTGAATCAGCTGAACTTAATATTGATTAATAATTAGATTGTGGATTTTATAACTAACAGTTTTAAAAATTTGGATCTGAATTATTAGCAAATTTAAAAATAAATCCATAATATAAAATTCGAAAATGTAATTTAACTTAATTCTATTTTCTGTAACATCTTTCAGCTGTTGGAGAAAACAGAATTTTTAGAATCTCAAAATAATTCTTATTATTGTAAAATCTCATGTGAAATTTAAAGGTGAAATATGTTAAACTTGTACAATATCAGTTGTCTTGGCATGTTTTCTGTATCACCTTCTTTCAAACATTATGAAATACAATAAACATATCCATGGATAAGAAGTTAAAAAATACTCATTAATCAAGGTTATGCAAACTTTGATTAAAAATTTCATAAACTTTGTATAACTGGAAAAGTAAAATCAAATTCTTAAACTAATTCCATTTCTTTGAAAGAAATGTTGCTATTCAAGAATGATAAGAGTTTCAATTAAAAATGACAGTACAAGTAGTCCCCAACTTACAATAGTTTTATTTCAATATTCCAGTCATAAATTAAACAAAAAATGGTGGTTTCCAAAATCAATCATAAGTCTATATAATACTGCTTACATATGTATTGTATGCTGTAATTAGATGATGACTCATTTGTACACTTACTGGCTATGTTAATTTAGTTATTTATATAAAGATGATATTTTAATTAATTAATTATGGTATTTTATTAACATTCACCCACACACACACAAGTAATTAAGTATAGTCAAAGGTTTCAAAAGTCCTAGTGAGAGATATGGCAGTTTTAATATGGACTGTAATTCTATTTTTATTTATTTCTTTAATTTATTATTGATTCACTTTAACTTTATTACAGAAGTAAAATTAGCATGATGATAGCTTCATTTTTGCTTTTGAAGTACTAATGGTATAAATCTGAGTGATAGTTAAACATGAATAAACTTATCAGTTAATGTTATATACAGTAGATTGTGTTTATTACGCATAATAGTATTACATTTAGCATTTAATTGTTGTAATGTGACTTTAGTAACTAACCAATTGTCCAGACACAAAAGCAATGTTTTTAAATACATTTTGACAGTTATAAGTTGGGGACTGACTGTAATTATTCAATATGAAACTTCTTTTAAAATAATCATTTTTATTTTTAAAAAAGTTTTAGCAGAAAATTTTGATTACAGGGTTGTCATATTGTTTTTAAGATTTTATCTACTTATACTATGAATCTCTACTCAGTTTATGTCTGACTACTAAGAGTTATTTAGTATGATAAATAATACTTTCTGCACTTCTTTTACAGCAATTCATTGATATATTTTTGTCATTATGGGAAAATAAATTGTCACTGGATTACTAGAATTGTTAAATAATATATTAGTAGTAGTAATAATAATTACACCAAAAATTGAAATTATTGAGAAAAACATGAAATTGATCTTGCAATATAATTTGTCTTGATGTTGTAGATGTGTGTATATATATTATAATATATGTATATTGTATTGTATTATTTCTTCAGCTAATGTTGATGCATTCTTCTTAATGGCAAATAGTTTAAATAAAAATATCTTCAAAATTTTTTATTTAATAGTCTCAAAATTCAGAGATTACTTTCACAAAAATGTACACAAAAATTATTTTTGAAAACATTTAAATAAAATTCTGTTTTCAGTCAAAAGTTTTTACTTTATTGTTGATAAAAATAAAATCAGTTTTTGGAACAAAGTCAATAATTATATATAGACCTATTAATGATTAGAATACTAGGTTAGGATATGTACTTAATACAACTTTCAAAGAAAAATGAAATAATTATTTGCAAACAAATCAGTTTGAATAAATATGTAATGAAAGATAACGTCATAATCCAGTTTTGTATTCTTTGAAACTTGAATTTTTGTTTTATCAATTTGTGTGGTTTTCATAGTTTAATAATCATATAATAATACGTTGTACTGTTTCATTTTTTTAATTTAATGTTTCTCTTCATCAAGGGATTGGTTTCTTTGAACAACCAGTCAAACTTGAAACATTAATGCAGATCAGTGTTTCCAATCTTTTATGCTTTTCAACTTCTTTCTAGACTTAGATTTAATTCGCAGACTCCCTTCTGTATTGATACAAAATAAAAATAAATTCCAAACAAGAAAAATTAAAAATCAAATAGAAATTAATAATACAGTAGAGTCCTGAATAATTGAGACCAATTTAACTAAGGTTCTGCATTAACTGAGTTGAATTGTGGAAGAGTACTTTGTTAACAAAAACATAACTTAGTGCAGTACTATTCATTTCATGATTCAGGAGATGCATGACACTTGATTCTAGAAGTTTTAAACAGAACTTGCTGTAATAAATATAATGGTGAATAAAATTTAAATATTGTATTGTTAATTTACAAGTTAATATATTCAATAAGTAGGTCTAACCTAAAAATATACTATATTATACAGCATATGTTAATGAATCCAAATTCACTTTATTTAACATTTCACGATATCCAAATTTTTGATTGTCCAGAATACAATTGGTCTGATTACCTTAGATAATTGGTACTTTGCAATAATTTTTTTATTAAAATTTAAAGATATATAGTTATTATATATTTACAGTTTTAAGCATAATAAAAGCAAATTTATTTATTGACTCTCAAATGACCCTAGTAATTTATCAATTCCAAGATAAATCAGTCAATCCCTCATCTTGCTATCATTTAGTTTCGGAACCTTTGATCTAGATTAGGGCTTCTTAAACTTTTTTATCCCCAATTATGATTGTGATTATTTTTGCAACCCAAAAAATATAAAATAAAGTTATATACAAATTTGCAAAAACAATAATGGTGTACTACCAGAGTTCACTCTTGTGTTACAATGGAACAGAGACAACTGAATACACTGAAAAGCGACAACACTACACTAGTTCACACTACAGTGTTGCTGAATCATTGTCTCACTGCACCAGAAGTGACACAAAGCGCAATTCACGAAACCTATGACACAAAGTATGCCATTTTCAAACTCTCACAAATTATTTTGCTTTAAAATCTCACGACCCCAAAATTTCACTAAGCAACCCCAAATGGGGTCGCGACCCATACTTTAAGAAGCCCTGATCTAGATGATCTTAAAAAGAGTTTTTAGTACATCATATGTGATTGATTTTTCTAGATTTTTTCTGATATGACTCAATTTATTCCTTCAATATCAGTTCTTTATAAATTGTCAATTTATTTCCTTCTAATTTTGATTAACTATTTTTTTTATTCTTTATTCTCTTTCTTTTAAATTTGAATAATGAAATAATTTCTTTCTTTCACATCTATTCTAGTAAGAACCTATTCTTTAAGTTATAAATATTCTAATTTCTCAACTGTAAATTCTAAAGTATAAACACAGATTTTTAAAAATTTATATAACTCGATGATATTGCAACACAATTTGCAAATAACCAAATTTTTACTAATTGCTTGCAGAATGTATTTTTGATTGTTGTGACAGTTATATAATATAGACATAGATAATTATGCATGAAGAATAAGCTTCATTTGATAAATGAAATAATCTTATTCCATTGTATTTGTATTTAATTAGAATCAGAAGGTTAAATCCTAAGAAAGCCTGTTTTCACTTTATTGTGAATGTTTGTTTGTATTGATTAATTAAAACCTTAAATAGATTTACTAAAAGAATATTGTTTGTTATATTTGAGTAGCAGTAGCTAATTTTTATTGAAATTAATTATATAATGATTATGTATTTAGGCAGAATTTTTGTATTGTATATGATAATCTGTAATCTAGGAATACTTTTGTGTGTTTTATTCTCACTTAATTAATGTAGACTTGGAGATGGTACAAATCCATCTAGAGATAATTTATTATTACATGAAGAGGAATATTCTGAATTATCGGAAGAAGAATCAGAAAGTGAAGTAAGCAAGAAAGACACTTGGAATAGTCATGTAAATAATCTATAAGAATAATGTAGTAATTAAAATAAATTTTTATGTCAGAATTAATCTATTGTTTTCTTAATTGGTTTTGTTTTTTCTTTTTTTTTTATGTTCAGGCAGGAGGTGAATGTGAAAGAGTGAAAACCCCAGAATAACTAAATTTTCTTTAACACAAAAGAGTCAAGTTTGTTTATTTCTGTCTCATTCTTTTTCACAGATATTTAATAAAAAGTTCCTTCTGCACTGATTGCAGATAGCATGAAACCATACAGTTTGTGTGTTCAAATTAAATGCAAGTAATAAACAGTAAACTTAGTATTAAATTTTTTATATATGATTATTACTATTTTATTATTATTAAAAATATGTTTTCAGTTTTAAAATGAAAAAAATACATAAAATTTAATAATTTTTAATATAAAAATAAACATTTTAATAAAAGTAAAATCAAAACCTATAATTAATTAACACTGACTTACTATTTTAAAAATTTGCAATTTTTTTATAAGTATATATATAATATGAGATAAGTATATAAAAAATAGAAAATTAATTCTATTTTTTATACTTATTTCGTCTGATCAGTTATTTCTGTGGAAGCTTTCTATGATAATTCAGTAATGAATTTATTACATTTTTATATTTGATTTTATGTATATGTACCCTGTTTCCCCAAAAATAAGAGGGTGTCTTATATTAATTTTTGCTCTCAAAGATGCGCTAGGTCTTATTTTCAGGGGATGTCTTATTTTTCCATGAAGAAGAATTCACATTTATTGTTGAACAAAAAAATTCCCAAGTTGAAGTTTGACAAGAGTGATGTATATCAGGTCGTGTTGAACTGAACTTAAATAAAACCGAAGTCACAAACCAAAGTGAACTTACAAAGTTCCCGTGCGAGAGTGGACTTCCCACTCTCGTTTCAACTTGACTTTTTTATAGCGTCGACATTGGGCTCAATGACCAGTTAGTGCTTACTGAACCGTAGCACTATGCAAATGTGATATGGCGTGATTCCCGGCCGACCAATTAGCAAACACCAGCTGTAACGTTATGCAAATCTGTGATTCCCAAGCCATAGTCTTATGCAAATCATGCCGTGTGGCGTGATTGTCTGCTGACCAATCAGTGGCTGTACTTTCAAAAAGCCAACAGCCACTTTCAACTATCTGTAGATGACCATTATGAGTAAAAATAAAAAATTTGCTAGGTCTTACTTTCAGGAGGACGCCTTATATTTAGCAATTCAGCAAAACCTTTGCTAGGTCTTATTTTCAGGGAAACACGGTATATATAAAATACAGCTGTTCCTTGATAGTCCGATGTTTTGTAATCCGACATGCTCAATAGTCCAACGCCCCTCTCGTGAAGGTACCCATCCTCGTTACATGTCTTCTTGCAAAGAAGCATATCACAACGTGAATCTCCCCACCCAATTCTTACACAATGAAATACATTTCATGTGTTTTCTGTGAGCAGTTCTGTTCCAACAGTTGGAGTAGGGAATATTGTAGGCTACTGCTAGCAAAACAATGCCAAATATGTAATCACTTTTGGTAATTCGACACCCCTTTGGTCCCATACCTGTCGGGATTATCAAGGGACAGCTGTATTTCAAATAATTTGACCCAATCTTTATCATATTAATAAATACAGTAGTGTGTCGTTTATCCAAATCAATTGGGGACTGGGGTTGTTCGGATAACTTATTTTTCAGATAACCAATTATGTATGAAAAAATATATTAACCTAGACCATGTTGAAATTTTTCTCCATTGCGTGTTGCTTTGCGTTGAATTTTTGTCGATGTTAAGCCTAACAAAAATTTTTATAGTAATAATCGTGGCTATTGTATCATTAAAAATTATTTATTTATTTTATACAAACAAAATAAATATATTGAAAAATATAAAAAACAAAAAAAGTACTTTAGAAAGTTAATCTAGTATCAAAAACGTTTGATTCAGCACAACACACAGTCCTAAGAAAAACACTACACAAAAGTGCCAGTGCTGCCATCTAAAACACACACACCAACAAAAAAAATATTGGAGTAGCCCAAGACATAGCCAAAGGTTGCAGCGCCACAGCACTAGCAGAAATTTTAATTTGCCGACTGGAATCCTTTCGGTTGACCAGCTTTCGGATAAATGACGCTCTACTGTAATATGATTTTCAGCCTAAATCTGCTAATTCTGTAGTTCATTCAAATAAAAGCTATCAAATTAAATTAAATGGCTTATATAATTATTGAAATATATTTTCTGATTTTAAAAATTATTGAATGCTTTTTTTCCTTGAGAAATTTGTTTTCTATTGTCTGATTACTTTAAAAACTAAATTAATGTTCAAGACTTCTACTTTGAATATTTAATTAGTTTTACAATGATTTATTACAATACTTCTAACATAAATTACTTATACAGTGGAATTTACTCATTGTAATCATGGATACTATTGTCAGTCATTTAAATTCTATCAGAATTAGCACATCCAAAACATCTAAGTGATGTTTTATAGGTATATTTTATTTTAATGAAAACTTTTGTTATATTTATCATTATCATCAAGTATTTTTTGAACTGCCTTTTCACATTATCAGTCTCAGCTTATGGTTATGTTATTAGTCCTAGTCAGCGTTTTAAACATTAAATGTTATTTGCCAGTGATACAACAGTTTTACTTGCTGACACTTGGTGATTATTATAATTATTATAATATTATTATCACTTGCTGACACTTGCTGACATATTATCACTTGCTATTAATATTATCACTTGCTGACACTTGGTGATTATTATAATTATTATAATCCTGTTTAATGATACCATCAGTTTAGTATTTAAAAAAAACAATCACTTTTAGACTTTTTTAACCCTATCTGCTCCGTGAGCACTAAGAGGGTCTTCATAACATATTGGCTGTCACCATAGAAAATGAAAATAATGTCCCAGATGCCACAGTAAAAATTTCAGGTAAACTGGCTTTTATTAATAGAAAAATGACAAAATATATTTACAAATTCAAAAAATAAAACTTTTTATGCTTCAAAAAGTAGATTCATTGGTGATTCCCATGGTATCAAGAAAATATTTACCTAATTTTATGCAATAAGTATTATTGATGATCTCATGAAAGAATCCTAGAAACCAAATAAAAGTATTTTGAAATTAAAGTAAAACACAAAACACACGAGAACTTCTTACAATCTTCACAAAATGTTGTTACAAGTGTTGACTTTTTCTATGTTTTCTCTCTTCCTCCTCCTTTAGCAGCATCTTCATAACATTGCATGCACCTCTTTCTTTTTTTCTTTTTTTTCCTTCTCTTATTTTCAAGTGATGTTTCTTCTAATCACATGTCAAATTTTCTGGAAGGTTTTTTGCTTACAGTTTTTGTATAAATGATGAAATATGCATTTTCATGCTTTTATGAGAATTTAATATTACAAGACTATTACATTTGTGTTGAGTAATAGCTCATACACAGCTTTGTGATACCAGCAAAGTCTTTCTCATTGGCAAAATAATAGCTGGTGGACATTTGATCTGACAGGTCTATTCCATCTTTTATTGGTATAAAATTTCTGCATCACACTGTTTTACAAAGCATAGATGGGCCAGGTACAATCTTTTTCTTTTCCTGCTATTGCTTTTCATTTGCTATTAATTAATTTTGCCAGAAGTCTTCGTTTAATTTGAGGTAAGAGTTCGAACTTAATTAAGGAACAAGTCGTACTTAAGCACTATGCATTTGGGGATCAGACGTGTTTTATGCACTTTAGTAGAAACCATAGCTGTGCTTTTTGCTTTAACCATAAAATTCTTGTATTCAATAATGAGAAGAAGTGTTTTCTAGTAGATTCCAATAAGAGACATAGCCAACAAAAAAGCTCGTCAAACCAGGAAGAAACTGAGCAAAAAGTTCCATTTATTATTATATTCTAATATTGCAGCTAGTTTCTTAACCATATCCATTTTTTTTTTTTTTATGTTTTTCTAATTCTTTTATTTGTGTTTCATGCTTTGTACATCTATTATCTTGCCATTAGGCTATGACAATCTCATCAGTAGTTTCTTTTCCTGTTATTTCACTAAGTTTCAGTTTTGCAGCTACGATTTCCTTTGGTAGTCCTTTCCTATCTTTCTGTATCATTCTTACAGAATGCATTTTTTTTTCTAACAAATCTTTTCTGGATTAGTATTTTGCCCACAGTGGAATTTAATGCATACATTACAGTGATGTGTCGTCCATGGAATCTGTGGAAATGCTGCTTCCCTTGTATTTTCTAAATATAAATACATATTGTGCAGTTATTTTCATATTTTAATGAACTTTGAATTAATTAAAATTAATATTTTATTATAACTGCATTACACATCTTATTACAAATTTCTGTACTACATATGAAAAAAAATGATAAGGTTGCTATTGTATATTCGAATATAAATTCATATACAGTAGAGCCTCGATTAACCGCCACCTCGGTTAACCGACCGTCCTAGTCGGCAAATTTCAAATGTCCGCTAGCGATGTGGCGCTACAATATTTGGCTATGTCTTGGCTACTTTAATATTATTTTTACATGTTTTAGCTGGCAACACTCATTCGACCATGAAAGGGAGCCAGTATTTAAACGAGGCTTAATTTTCTAATTTTTAACGATACAATAGCGACAATTATTATTTTAAAAAATTTTTGTTAGGCTTAACATTGATGAAAATTCAACGCAAAGTAGGTTAATAGCGATATACTAATTACATGGGATATAATAATATACTACACTAATAATGGATTTTTTCACACTTTTCGGTTATCCGACTTTTCAATTATCCAACCAACCCCAGTCCCCAATTGGGTCAGATAATCGAGACTCTACTGTATGCATATTCCCAATGAAAGCGCTGTATTGTCGAATACAGGATAGCTTCCATGGCAAAAATACTTGAATGGTGTAAAACAGCCAGATTATATGCATTTGCACGTGCACTTTACAGAGCACCAACCTCATACGGTTTAGCACATGGATGCTACACACCAAAATATCATATAACTCTTCCAATGATTCTGTCCAGGGCTGACACAGCTTCCCTATCATTAAATGTCACCGCATGCCACTCAAGAGGCGTTCCTAATTTGAATATTTTTAGACCATGCCAATGTCTTTCATTAACTATATACAGTCAATCCCCCTATAATGCGGTAGATAGTTCCACTTTTTATGAAATTCGTGTTCTACAAGTCCTTAAATACATGAGCCAATCACAGCCTGGCACGTATGCAGTTTACAGACTATGGCTGTTTGAAAGGTTTTCTTCCATAAAATTAATCGATTCTAGACTAATTTGACTCGACATTTCCAAAGCATGTATAATTT